GACTTTATTGCAATACTTAAAGGGAGTGTTCGCGAAAAATGAAAGGGGGTATAGGCTTAATGCGATAAAAAAGCGCTTTTGATCGCTACTAATCTTACTTCTACCTGTTGCGTCTATAAGGAGAAACTTGTTAAAGACGTCTCATACCGAATAACTTAGCGGCCATACAAATTGAGAAAATAGCAACATACGACTTAGACCGTAAAAAAATCAATTTAATTTCAAATAAATCATTTAGATATTACAACCTATAGTCATCGATTATCTTTTGCCACATTTGTATGTAGTTTATATTTTATAATATTTTTAAATTAGTTTGTTTGTTTCTCTTGTCGCTTGCGCAACTGTCTAAGAATGCCGCGCACCACTCACAATTTTCGAAATCCGTTGAAAACGTTTTCTAAAAAAATAAAATATTATAAAATATAAACTTTATACAAATGTGGCGAAAGATAATCGATGACTATAGGTCGTTATCTAAATGATTTATTTAAAATTAAATTGATTTTTTACGGTCTAAGTAGCATGTTGCAATTTTCTCAATTTGTATGGCCGCTAAGTTATTCGGTATGAGACGTCTTTAACAATTTTCCCCCTATAGACGCAACAGATAGAAGTAAGATTAGTAGCGATCAAAAGCGCTTTTTTATCGCATTAAGCCTATACCCCCTTTCATTTTTCGCGAACACCCCCTTTAAGAGTATTTATATTGCTACAACTCAAATAGTTTTGCAAGACATTTATAAAATCATCTATTAAGTGAGATGGTTCTGTTTACACGGAATTATTGCTGTGTCGCATGCTCATTGGACTATTTCAAGTCGTAATTTGAGTCTTAAAGTCGTCTTAATATTCCAAAGTTTACTGGTTATCACTGTATTTTGACTAGATCATTTTATACAAAAAATGCAAATCAAATTACTGATATAATCAATCCTTTCCAAGACTAAATTGTAAATGGCACAACTTAACAAATCAATATTGATAGAATAAATTTAGGACTTATAAGGTTACACCCGCCACACTCTTATATTGGAGTTTTTAATATTAGAAAGTTTACATTGTTATCAATATGGATTAAAAGATTGCAAGCGAGTGGCAGATATTATTTTTATAAATTTCTTCAGAATCATGCAAGACGACATTTAAAAACAATATCGAAGGGCAGCTTACAAAAAAAAAAGACTTTGAATATGTCAATTTGAACTCTAAATGTTGGGTTCTGTTTTGAAAATAGTGTTGAATTGATATGCTTGTAAAAATGAACAAGTTCTGGGCTCCATTGTAAAAAAATGGGTTAAATGAATTCCCAAAAGTTTGCGGGAAACCCGCTGTGTCTAATTAATAAATGCAAATAACAAAATTTTCTTGAAAATTTTATATTTAAATTCATTGATAAAGTTTCTAAAAAATTTGTTGTTACCTGTATTTCGGATTCTGGTACAGGAGGCACCGGAAAACTAATAGAGCAGGAATCAGTTGTTGATTTGGATTTAAATGTCGGCGATAAATCAGGTGTAGATATTAAATCAGATGGTGAACTTTCAGCTGGTAAATCAGCAGCTGACGAATAAATATCAGCTGTTAAACTAGAATCAGCTGTTGTTTTTGAATCAGCTTCTGGTGGAATAAAATGCAAAGAAACTTTCTCACTTCCTAAAAAATTAGATATTTTTTTGCCATTTTCGAAAAAATTGAAGCAATATAATTGATTTCTTCAACAATTTTGGATCAATAATAAAAGAAAGAAAAATAAAATAAAATTTTACTTTAGAAAAATATTAAATTTTTCTTTTAAGCAATGTTTGTTTTTTTACGTGTATGCTTCTTGAGAAAATGAGCACAAAAGTAAACAGTGTACACACTTCACAGTTTAAACAGCAAATAATAATAAAAAGTTGTTCCTTCCAGATTTTGATTTAAGCCATGTGTTAAACTATTTTAAGATCAAAGAAATCATATTTATGGAATTAAGTGGAGTTAAGCTTACCTTCGGTAACGACGGCAATCAGATAATTATCATTACTGAGGCTAAAAACAGAAATTAATATATTATTTCCTTGAAAAGTATTAAATTTGAATTAAAATCATGCAATAAAAGAATTTGATGTACTCAGCTTCAAATTGTCTTCAATTAGTTGCAATTATTACTTACTTATTAGTGCACTGGATATTACTGGATTCTGTACTCTCAACTTTATTCAGTTTCTACAGTTATTCAGTAATACATTCATCCATATATCCAAGGTTATAATCCAAAGAAAGTTAATTCAGAGGTGTACGCATTTTTTGTACTGCAGTGCACTGTTTCTGGGCGATAATGTAAACACAAGACAAATATAACAGCCTGACATATGATCCATCTTTCACATAAAAAATCAATGAAATGGTCATAGGAAACTGGTCATGTGAATTTTCAAAATTATCAAAATTAAATGCTTTTATCCTCCTCGGATACTAAACAAACACTGATGCATCTACTCTTGTTTACAAATTTATCCCAGACGTATCTCAAACAACCATGTTGGAGACATTGTGGTTGATTGAGCTTAGGTTGAACTTTTAAAGTGGAAAACCCTTCTTTGGTTAATCCCAAAATACTTCTATTTACAAATAATGATTAATCCTTAATAGAATAATGGAAAGTGTGTCCAAAAAAATATTTTTTTTCTAATGTATTCTGTTTCCTGTAAAATGGGTGAATAAATATTGTTTTCTTGTGCAGTTCGCAAAAATGCCTTGAATTCACTTCTGAAAAATAATTAAGAAAGTTTTTGTCTGAAATTTTAAACAAATTGATTTCTCCCTCCTTCCGCACTTTTTTTTTAATTGCGTATATATAAAATATCCCTTCCCTTCCCTTCAAAGCTTTGACTGATCAAGTAATAATTATATATCAATGTTTTTGTTTCTTAAACTGTTCATTTTTATTTGCGGATTTTTACGCATTTTTTTGTTTATCATAAACAACTAAAAACTCACAAAAAACAACAACTTTTTAAGTCAGAAAAATGACGACATCTTTTACATTTTTGATCCGATTAAGGTTTCAATTGAGTACCGTTGTACATCGAGCCTTGTCATCTTTGCATACGGTCCCGTCACATGAAATTACGCTTACAATTGCCTTTAATAGCCCTCTCTGGAGACTTCGGTTCTTGTTCTGTAGAAACTCTACCAAAGTTCTTCTAAGAACTTACCTGTTTCCGAAAAGGAAGTTTATGTACGGAAAAAGCTGAAGAACTTGCTGAACAAACTCAATGTTTTCACAAACATATTCTCCACACAGGTTGAACACAAACTTCTGAACAATTAAAAACCTGAGGTTGAAATTAATGAAAGAAAGTTCAGTAGTTTAACTATAGCTACGACTAGTTCAATTAACGCCAGAAAGGTATATATAAAGAATTGGTACGTTTTGACTTCGTTTTATAGCTAAAATTGGAACGTTTGAATACAAAGCAGGACGAAAAACAAAATACAGCGCGGCGTTTAAAGAAAACATCAAAATGCTCGAAAAATACATTTTTTTTCGTGCAATTTTTAACAGGAAAAAGAAAGAAAGTTGCCATTATTTTATAGCACATCCGTTTTGCTTCGTTTTTAACCATTCATTTGTATTTCCAAAAAGCGACTATTTCCATTGGTTATCGATTTTAAAATCAACGGATTTTGTCGGTCGTTTAAGGAATTGTGTGTTATTTTCAAACTCCTCTGTTTCGTCAACGGAACTTTACCCTATAGCCGTAAACCCTCCGCCCAGCCCATGCATATTTATTCTGTCCCCCCCTCACAAGAAATCCCTACCCCCCAGGAATTGAGATACAGGTGTCCCACGAAACTTGACATTTGGTGAACAGTTTTTAATGTCGTCTTCCATACTTTGTAAAATGGCACTTTTTGCAGTTTTATTTCTTCAAAAAAATCTGTTCCTCAAATTTATTTACTTTGAAATCATTTTTACTATAATATGACTTTCATGTGATATATTTTATTACTCATTTTGAACTCAAAGAACTTAACAAATTATGGAAAACGACATTTTAGCATGCAGTCTATCAAAAGTTTAAAAACTTAAAACATGTTGAATCGGACCCCCCCCCCCATTTTAGAGATTTCAACGTGCGTTGTGCCTGAATACAGGGTATAATACCTTGTTATGTTTGTGCGATAGCTGGGCTAGCTTGCAGGTCACCTCAGGACTGTGAATCAAGAAGTATCCCTCTACATACACAACCTGATTCAACTTTATTTTGAACTGTTATACACTTTACTGTACTGTACTGCATATCTAGAATTTCAGGGTCTTTGCGCCACTTTTAGGGCAACAATTTAGCAGTTAATTTTCTGCCATTTTTATTTTTAAAATTTTTTATTTTTATTATAGTTGAAAATGAACCAATTTAAAGGGAGTGTTCGCGAAAAATGAAAGGGGGTATAGGCTTAATGCGATGGAAAAGCGCTTTTGATCGCCACCAATCTTACTTCTATCTGTTGCGTCTATAAGGAGAAAATTGTTAAAGACGTCTCATACCGAATAACTTAGCGTCCATACAAATTGAGAAAATTGAAACATTCGACTTAGACCGTAAAAAATCAATTTAATTTCAAACAAATCATTCAAATATTACAAACAATAGTCATCGATTATCTTTCGCCACATTTGTATATAGTTAATATTTTATAATATTTTTTAATTAATTCTTTTACATTTTATTTTTTTAGAAAATGTTTTCAACGGATTTCAAAAAATGTGAATGGTGCGTGGCATTCTTAGAAAGTTGCGCAAAAGACAAGAGAAATAATCAAATTCAAAACAAATTAGTTATAGAATATTATAAAATATAAACTATGTACATTTCTATCGCATTAAGCCTATTACCCCTTTCATTTTTCGCAAACACTTCCTATAAGATGGCGTGAATGTATGTTTGTGTCCTTAGATGTCTCATTTTGTGAATTTTATTTATTTTTTTTTTGTTAAGAAAGGAGGATTGTTCTATATATCAAGCTGGTTCAATGTATACCCATATTATTAAGATTGTCAAATTTTTCATTTTCGCTAACACTAGTGATTTTCTATCATTAAACCCCATTTGAGGGGCACATTTTTGATTTTTGTAAAAAATGTATTCTATAAATATGCCTTAGAATTCCAAGTGAAATACTATTTTGCTTCTGTAAAATGATTTTAGAAAAGTTTCACTAGATTTCACACCCCTAATACATATTAGTACATTATTTAACTCTGAAGAAAAACCTTCTAACCTCTGAGTTGAGGACTGTATTAAAAAACCTTCTAACCTCTGAGTTTAGGACTGTATTTAAAACCTTCTAACCTCTGAGTTGAGGACTGTATTTAANCCTAAAGTTCTCTCTGGTCCTTGAACTAGATCTGTACAGTGTCCAGTATGAAGATATGAAGGGGGGGTGGTTATAGTATTGCATACAATCCCTTTAAATTTACCTAAAGTTCTCTCTGGTCCTTGAACTAGAGCTATACAGTGTCCAGTAGGAAGATCTGAATGCTCTGCTAGGTAACTGACAACTCCAGAGTTGTTCAAAAACTTCTAAACAAAGATCTCAATGGTTAACCCTATCACGATATCGGGGGGGGGGGAGGTGCCCCCCCTGTGACTTCTTCTGAATAACTTAAAAACGGCTTACATTAACATCACGTTTTTGATGCACAGGGTAGGTTGGAGGACGGTAAAACAGCGGGTCTGTGTTTCAAAGATATCAGAAATGGTTAGTAACTGTTTTATTAGTTAAGCTTCAGGGCGAAGGCTTATAAATTAAAAAAGCCCCTTGAAAATGGATGTAATAACATGTAAATATGTGTTAAAATAAAAATAACTTATTTTGAAAAATTTGCGAAGTACTTTTTGAACTTTTTAAATATCCACCCGTACACCCTAACCATCAAAGTTAGAGGTCTAATTTTTTTATATGTCCTTGAAAAGTTGGACTAGGGACATGGATCACACTCCCCTATCTCAACTCTGAGGGCAAAATCATAGGGATTGCATCAACACACATGATCGTTGCATGATACTAACCGGTACAAGGATTGACAGGTCTATTTTTTTACTTGTGTTAGTCCGTCTAGTGCATTCAGTATGTGATTGACTCTGCAAAGAATAATTAGGTGGGCTGAACCTGTGTGAAGTTTTGAGAGAAATCGCCATAGGAAAAAAATAGTAAAACAGTAAAACCCAAATACAGTGGAAAAGGCCCCCCCCTCTACCCCAATAAACTCCTCCCCCTTCCCTACCTGTAGTATTCTGCCCCCTTGATCAGCTCCAACTCCTCCTAGAAGAGCTGCTTGTCCAGGCTCCTGTGCTAACCATTGATAAACTCTAGCACTGTTCATTCCACATCCTCCACCACACAGTAGGGTTCCAGGACTACAAAATTAGAGACTAGCTGAACAGTGGGGTTCCAGGACTACAATATTAGAGACTAGCTGAACAGTAGGGTTCCAGGACTACAATAATAGAGACTAGCACAGTAGGATTCCAGGACTACAATATTAGAGACTAGCTGAACAGTAGGATTCCAGGACTACAATATTAGAGACTAGCTGAACAGTAGGGTTCCAGGACTACAATATTAGAGACTCGCACAGTAGGATTCCAGGACTACAATATTAGAGACTAGCTGAACAGTAGGGTTCCAGGACTACAATAATAGAGACTAGCTGAACAGTAGGGTTCAAGGACTACAATATTAGAGACTACTCGTCGTTGAAATGAATATTTTATGAGCAAAGAGCTTTATTGCATAAATAAATAAATGAATAAATAAATAATGATTTATTGAGATAATATCAAATAGTGATCATCATTCACAATAATAATACAGATAAAATATTGGTTCAAAAGTCTCTGTATATATGGAAGGGCAGATTTTCTACATTTTTTTGGGCCTGGCATGATTGACATGGACATGATACTGCTTCTAGTGGCGTAGTTGGTGTTCATGTGGGTGAACTGCAGCAGGGAAATGATGACGATGCATTTCTTTGTAAAAGAGAGGGAAAGCTTGTCCCTTCTTGACTCCAGTGGATCTCCAGTTCACAGGACTCCAATGCAATTATATATTCGACATAATCTTTGCCTAGAATAATATTTAGGCGAACTCTCTGTATCCGTTCAAGGGCATTGTTTTGGTGAACTGTGAGAGAAGAGTGCCATACAACACAACAGTACTCAACAATACATTTAATAAAGGTTTTGTAGACTGTTAAGACAGTAAAGGAAAAATGAAAGAGGGTATAGGCTGAAAGCTAATCACTTTAGCTCTTGATCGCGACCCATGAAAGTCATATCTGATGAGTGATGTTCCTGTCTCGAGAAATTGATATAAAACTGTGTCAAATCTATACGAAAATTAATATATATACAATTTTGTATAAAAGTAGTAGGTTTAAACAGATCATATTCAGCAAATAAGCAACCAATCTGAAAACGATGATATCCCAGAGAAAGCTAATTGTAATTTAGGTTTACTTTTATATTTGGTGTTTCTATTTTCAACAGATTTCATTCATAATTTATTTTTACGTCCGTATTACTTGACCAGAAATTCCCCCAATGGCAGTGCAGTAAAGTGGTCACGTGATACAGGCGGAGACACGTGACCAGTATACTGCTCTGCCATTGGTGATAGTTCTGGTCACGTGATTTAAGTTTCAGATTTTTTAAAATTTTACATATATGAATTTTCGTATAATTTTAACACAGTTTTATCAGTTTCTCGAGACAGGAACATCAGATAAAACTTTCATGGGTCGCGATCAAGAGCTAAAGTGATTAGCTTTCAGCCTATATCCCCTTTCATTTTTCCTTTACTGTCCCTCTAATAGGTTTTCCATTTTCATCCTAACATACTTCAGCATAGAGAGAAGAGATACCCCATCTTACAAATCTCTATGTTGTTCAGCTCCCAGTCCATGGGTATCAGGTATCCAAATTTCCAACAACTTTATAGATTTAATTCGATCTAGATTATTTTTGTTGTTCTGTAGATGTGTACTGTAATCTGCGACTGCTTTTGTTATCAGCATGTAGCATCAGGTTCTGATCAGTTCACTGAGATATAGAGTAAATGTAGGTCTGTGTAGGCTTTCTGTGGGGATCAACACCTATATCGCAGGGTACATGATTTTTAACGTTGTAGGAAGAGAGACAAAGATACCAGTTCTAGGAAGGTGAGGCCATCTACATATTTAAACCTGAGGGTTTCATCAACACAGTCAGCATTGTTGTTGCACTGTATGAGGTACTCCAGTACACCAAGCAGTGTACCTTGGGGTCCACTTCCAGGGATGTGATGTACTCTAGATGTATTTCCATTAAACTTTACAGATATCCCAGCTATCATTCAATCTCCGCCATTTCTTGGTCTTCAACATTTCAAAACACTTCAATGTCAGTACCATGTAGTATATACTAAATTCTTTCTTACTGATGTAGAATGATGTAGAAATAATCTGATTTAGTATATACTACATGGTACTGACATCGAAGTATGTGGGAGATCATATCTGCGCTGTAGTATATACTACATTGTATATACGACACATCCTGGTGGGTAACATTCAGTATACCACCAGTACCTAGATCAGATATGATGATCGTAGCTCTGGCCAACTCTGGCAAAGCCTGTTGTATATACGAGGCGGTACAACCGAAATTGTCTTTTTGTTAGCTGGGATAGATCTTTTGGATAGCTAGGTAGCTGGTTAAACAGGCACAATAGTCATGGTTGTACTCCCGCAAAGGCCTCAGACCAGTCTGGTCCAGGTGCTTCAGGATCCTATCCACCATGGCAACCAGGAGATGATCAGTCCCAGTTCCCTTCTGGTTTCAATGCTGTGCAGGGTCTAGTTTGGCAGAAGTACCTTCTAGAATCTATTTCTTTAGGAACCTTTCAAAAAGTTTGGAAAAATCACTAGTGCTTGAGATCTTTCTGAGATCTTTCACTGTTACGGAGACTGAACTTTGGGCACTATACACTCAAACTTCCAGGTTTCAGGATAGTTTCCAGACTCCAAGCAGGCATAACAGATGTTATACACTCAAACTTCCAGGTTTCAGAATAGTTTCCAGACTCCAGGCAGGAATAACAGATGTTGGTGAGAGGGGTTGCAAACTCCTGTCTAAGTCTGTATGAGATATCTGTAGGCAGAACGGACTTTGTTTACTTTATCTTACATGATTATAGATAAACTTCATGATATCGTACACCTTTTATATTTCATACTTAATATTTGATATAAAAGAATTACAAAGTTTCAAATATCTAAGGTTGCAAAGCTATAGAAAATAAAGAATCTCAGTTTGTGGCAAAGGCTCATTTCTCTTAGTAAGAAATTAGATAAAATTAAGGCTTTTTGTTTTCTAAAAAAATATTTTTTTACTTACAGTTGAGTTACTTCTTCGTATATTCCTGCAGAGATTGTGTCCAATTCCTAAAAAATTTAAATTTGAAGTTTTCTTTTAAAATCATTAAAAATGAGATTTGTTTTGACAGGAGGTCTTGCACTCAATGACCAGGTTTTTATTTTTGTAAGAAAATGTTGTCTTCAATAAATCTAACCTGTGCAATGTTTTCTTCAAGATTATATCTTTTAATCAATTCCTCTCCAAACTCTTCAGCCACTATTATATCAAGGAGAGGGTTCCCAAAGCAAACTTAAAATAAAGAAAATGATAATGATAATAATGACAGTAATAATAAAAGTAGTAGGTTTAAACAGATCATATTCAGTAAGTTTCAACAAAATATGTTAAGAAAATAAATAAGTTTTTACAAAACAAGTGCTGCAGAATTATGTTAGAACCAACAAAAATGCACTGTAGGCAGTATGAGAATTTCTTGACTTTCTCCAATGGTATTTAGAGATAAAATTAAACACCCAATTGGAATGGTATTCTTTTACTATTCAATTTAAAAAAAATTAAGAAAAAGGTTGAAATTGCTAATTTCTTCAGCGTTGTGGTTTAAAGATAAGATTCAAATACAACGAAATCTGCGAAATAAAATGTTTTAATTATAAAAATACTAGCTAAAAAATTAAAATATGAAAATAAATAAAAAACTATTGGAAAAATTCAATTTTTTTAGCCTATGACACCCCAAGGATACCCATAAGTGTCCACACAAAATTCCAACCCATTCAGTTCAGCCGTATGGCCGGCCAGAGGGAACATATTTACGAATGTAATGTTTTATTATAAAGATAGATACTCTGCTATAAAGCTGAAAACTCTAATTAAAAATTTCTAATCTGTATTTTTCTGATAATGTTCTTATTTCCTAAGCTACTCAATTTCGTATATAATGCCATTTTGTTGAAGGATTATTTGACGAGAAAGCTGCTTCAGTCTACGATATCAAGTTGAAAAGAATTACAGATTAGAAAAGAAACGTTTAAGTAATTCGTCATTTTTTTTTATCGAAAATACAATTTAAGCATTATGTATGCCTGGTTAGGGCCTGGATATGAACTCCCTGAATGAGGCCTAAAGCAGGTGTTAACTCTCTAGTTTTCATGTTTGATCAATAGACCAATATTTCTGGGTCAAGGACAATTATGCAATAATTTGTGTCTTGTTTTATCAATAAACAGATATATTGTCAATAAACAGATATATTGTTTATAAACAGATATATTGTCAATAAACAGGTATATTGTTAATAAACAGATATATTGTCAATAAACAGATATATTGTCAATAAAATATTAGAGACTC